TGTATGTTGCTTAAACACAGGCAGCTGTTCTTTCTCTGATGTGTTGTAGTTACCCTTTGTGTATTTTACAGTACTGATATTTCTTTTCTTGGCAGATTTCTACATATAAACGCAATGAGGTAGGCAGAGAAAGACCAGGGGTGTTTTACAAAGATTTTAAGTCAATCCTAACTCTAAGTTAGACTCAAACATTATGTAGAGCCATTTGTAACCTTAAAATAAATATATTCAAAAGCGAAAGTTGAAGTACTTAAGACTTTTCATAAATTCCAGTTTTGAAGCAACATTTTATGCCTTTTAAAAGAATTTTTACAAAGTATTTTCAAAGATGCTAACGGCTTTCCATAACTGTAAAGTCCAACTTAGAGATAAGTTCAAATTAGGATCTTTGTGAAACACCCCCCAGGAAACTCTTTCTTCTACTGAAATATGTATATTTGCAAAATTTCATTTAATTTCTTTATTGCTTTCCACATTTAAAGATAAAAAACAAGATTTTTTTTTACATGTAATCCATAGAAAAATACATGATATTCAAATTACAGACAAACAAACTATATATATATACAAAATATTCAACAATCAAACAATGAAATAACATACGAAAAGGGGGAGGTAAGAATTACCTGTACACTTGGATTTTTGAATGTGGGGGATCACTATAGCAGCCAAATAAAGGCTTAGCTAATAGCTATCCCCGTGTAAAGTAATACTAGAAAAATCATGTAAGAGAAAGATACAGTTTACATGCATGGGTTTTTAAATACTATTGCACAGCAGATAAGATTTGTATTTCTTTTTTAAATTTAACGTTGGACACAGCTTCAAATCATTTGGGACAGTATTCCAGCATTTCGTTCCAAAACATGTTATAGTGATTCTTGCAAAATTATATTTGAATAGTGGCAAGCGTATATTCCCCTGGTTCTCGTATTATACTCTAACGAAATGTACCCTTTTCAGAATTTAGCTTTTTTGACAGTTCATCATTGAAGGAAAAGATGTTATCTAAAGATCATAATGGAGAGACCAATGGTGAGAGCAACCAACGGCATAAATGGCCTGTCATAGTTAAGTCCAACTTAAAGTCGATCTTAGTCTTGTGAAACGCTCCCAAGGAATAACATTAAGTCGGCCCTGGCTAAAACTAGTTCCCTCAGTAGATCTCTTCAAAAAACATCTCAAGTTCTATTGATTGTCGTTGGTCAATCCCCAAGTGTTAAAATTATAGTTTTTGTGATTGGAACAATTAATATTATGTTGCTGTACTTATGTTGTATTGGTATCCTTGATCAATGTGTGTAAAAGCTGCAGAGACGATATTGACTCATATAGGTGCGATACAATTTTACCTGGTTATAATCAATAAGTGATAAGTTATAAATATATATATATATATATATATATATATATATATATATATATATATATATACATATATATATATATATAATCATTTATGACACACTGAATATTTGTTTCCCTTAACTTTACCAAGCCAAACCCGTTCAATTTTGGAAATAGACTTTCCATCAAATTCTTTACAAATTATTAATATTTCAAGGATTTTGTAAACTCATTTTTGCTTTTAATTGGAGGGTGATGAACAGGATTCTAATTAGGAAGCTGAAAAACAGTTCTTAGGTTTGATGAATTTCAAACTTGTCTAAAATTCAGAGCATTATTCATTATTGATTTACCAATAGAAGCCATTGCTAACTGGTTATAATCAATTAGTGATCATAATTTATAAAAAGTAATGACTTTCCACTAGGACTTTTATTTCCAGAAGTACAATCTATACAATAGGTTATAGCAAAATCTGGTCAGAATCAGGCAAATCAACAATCAAACCAGAGTCGCTTAAAGCAGAATCTAGTTTCATACAAGAAACCAAATAGAATATGCCCCTTTTGTTATAAAGGTTGCAGAGAAAAACTGGGATGGGATGGGATGGCGACCAAGCACCCTGGACAAGACGTTGGTGGTTCAGTTACAAACAACGATCAGATGACCAGAAGCGAAAGACAACCAGAGGCTGGGCAAATTCGAGTGGGCACTTCAGGAGATGTCAGAAACGGCAAGGTCTTTTCATCGTGGCTAAAGTCGACGGGCAGCCAGTAACATTCCTGATTGACACTGGGTCTACACAGTCGTTCATCGCGGACAGTGTCTTCAATAAGATTGGTGAAGGGAGGCAACCGGTCTTGCAGAGGGTAGTAAATACCATACACCAGGCTGATGGCTCACATTTGGACTCCCTGGGGAAGGCTGCCATGGAGTTGCAGATTGGAGGTTTGTTTTTCATTGTCGAAATGACCGTATAGCTGCCTTAAAGAATGAAGGGATCATTGGCCTAGATCTGTTGATTCAGATGCAAGCTGAGCTAGACTGCCGTAGGATGGAGCTATGAACGCCTTGGCAGTCTATTCCGTGTGAAGGATTTGAAAGGCAGGTTATATCCATTTCGGAGAATGTTCCTGAGACTGCAAGCAACTTTGGCGAGCTACAGAAAGGAGAGAAGGATGTCGGTCCCGTGTTACAGACGGACGCTTCAACAACCAAGCCTAGTGAAGAAGAGAGGGCAGCAGGAGACTCACCGGATGAGGATTCGACAAATGATGATGCACTTGGAGGGACGGCAGAGGCTATCCCAACAGAAGACAAAGTAACTGGAGACCCACGGGACAACAGCCTAGCAGTCGAGGACGCAGATACAGGGTTGTCAAATGATGACCTGACAGACAAAGAGCCTGTTGATTGCTTCCCACAGATGTCGATCCTCTAGCAGGTGATGCATTAACTAGAGATCCACCAGGTACTGGCTTAGCAGTTGACGAGGCGGCCAACGATATGTCAGGTGGCGGTCCTGTCAACCATGAGGCAGCCCAAGACCTTCACGAGGACCACCGAACGATACATCACAAAGGAAGGGGAGATGATCGAGTCTATCAAGGAAGAACTCACGAGGGTTAAGTGATTCGAACTTTTGAAACATAAACATTCAACAAAGAGCCACTTCAAGTGTCAGAAAAGACTTGGCTATATGGACTCCAGTTTTGACCTGTTTTGACAAAATGCCATGATTTTGTTGTTGTTGCACAGTGTATACAAGTTTAGTATTAGTTGTAGCCTAAACCAGCTGTCACACAAATTTAGATATATTGATCTGTAAGTGTTTGTTCATGTATAGTTGGAGAGGAGCTTCACAAGTACTCCACATTCATAACAGAGCTGTATAACATGGTGATAGATTTGAACATGGAAACGGAAGGAGGAAAAGAAATCTGCACTTTCTGTAATGATGAGAGCCATCAAATCGAGAAATGTAAGGTGTTATCATCAAAGGCTTATGATGACAGGATAACCTTCTGTAAGAAAACTGGGCTATGTTTCAGCTGTCTAAAGAAGGCCAGGCATAATGCCAAAGATTGCAGAAGGAAACTAAAATGCAGAAAATGCAACAGACTACATCCGACAGCGTTACACAGAGACTGGAAGGGTAATTCTAAAAGTAACAGTCAAGATAGCAACAATGCTGACAGGCAGCATGTCAGACTGCAGCCCAACGAGGCAGAAGCATCGTTGACCCCTGCAGTAGAGACACAGATAAATAATCATGAAAATGATGATGGAAATGTAGATGACCGCCAACAAGCAACGGCAAGGAATATCAAGTGCAGTTATAATGATTCCAGAGCTAAGTCAGCTGACAACCTACATGGAATAGTCCAAGTGCTGATTCGTTCTCATGACACACAGGTCCAACTGAAGACAAATGCATTGATTGATTCAGGAAGCAATGCAGTATTTTGCACGGATGAATTGGCAAGAGACCTGAAGGTTAAAGGGAAAAAGATGAACATTCACATGTCAACCATGACCGATGAAAAGGTGGTGTCAAGGCATATCAAGCAATCTGGAAATTACTGATTTACATGGACATATTACAGCATAAACCTTCCTGAAGTATATGCTCGATAGCAAATACCAATGTCAGAAAATGACATACCAAGAGAAGGAGACCTCGTGAAATGGCCACACCTTTAAGACATCCAGCTGCCGACCTCAGATGAAGTTGTGCATGTTGGTCTGTTTAGGAAGTAGTATTCCAAAGGCCATGGAACCAGTCGAGGTCATGAACAGCGAAGTGCCTAAAGGCCCTTTCGGCTGGATAGTGTACGGAGCAACTAAGGATCAGGCCAGGCACCATACAGTTCATTCTCACAGAGTGAAGGCCAAGACAAACATAGATCAACAACTCGAAAGTCTGTTTAATCAGGACTTTAATGAGAGAATTATCAACGACAAACAAGAGAAGTCGCAAGAGGACTTGTCCTTCATCAAGAAAGTTAAGAAGTCAATTAAGCAGCAAGATGATGGACATTATAATGTATAATTGTATTTGTTTATTCGGGCGTACCCATTACAAGCTCTGCTTATCGGGTTTCGCGCCTTCTTCCTTGTAATACAAGTTCTTTAAATATATTTATGTTCCTACGTATAAATTGTATTATTTGAACAGATGTCAAATATGTTGTCAAATTGAATGAAATAAATAAATGTTCATTTGAATTGAGTTGAATTGAATTTCGGAATTGGTCTGCCTATGAAAAGAGAGGAACTTAAACTTCCTAACAATCGGAGGGTGGCTCACTCAAAGAAAAGGTTTGAGAGGCAGCCAGATTTCAGACAGGACTACACCGAATTTGTGAACAAGATGCAGAACCAAGGTTATATGGAGAAGGTGCCCGAACATGAAACCAAGAGGGATGATGGCTGTGTTTGGTATCTACCACACCATGGAGTCGTACACCCACAAAAGAAGAAACTTAGAGTCGTCTTTGACTGCTCGGCTGAATTTGGAGTTTTCTGTCTCAATCGAGAGCTGTTACAGGGGCCGGATCTCACGAACACACTGTTTGGAGTTTTGACAAGGTTTCGGCAAGACAAAGTGGCTTTGATGGCGGATATTAAAGGCATGTTTTCGCAAGTTCGACTACCCAAAGACGACAGAGATCTCCTTCGCTTTCTTTGGTGGGAGAAAGGAGACATTGAGCAGCCCTTGACTGACCATAGAATGAGAGTACATGTATTCGGAGCAGTATCATCTCCATCATGTGCTAATTTTGCGCTAAAGAGAGCAGCTCAAGAACAAGCAGACAGTTTCTCAAAGTTATTTTAAAAGGCATAAAATGTTGATTCAAATCATTCATATTTTCTATTATCAAGCGAGATTTCAGGTTCTTGATGTGGAATTTATGGAAAGTCTAAATACTTAAACTTTTGCATTTAATATATTATATTTTAAGGCTATACAAATGGCTCTCCATAAATTTTAAGTCCAACTAGAGTTAAGTTCGACTTAGGATCTTTGTGAAACACCCCCTGGATGTGGAGATACAGTTACCAAGGTCAAGGGTCAAACGTGGTGCCCAGAAGAAGAAAGGCTCTGCTCAGGCTACCAAGGAGGTGTCACAAAAACTTGTCATCAGTGACAAATGACAGTTTTTGTTATAAGCTACTGAAATCCTTGCTTCTGATTGGTTATCATTAGATTTGTCACTGAATTTTGTCACTTGTCAATGAAAAAAAGTTTTGTGAAACACCCCCCAGGAGTGAAGAACAGCCTCCAAGTCAGTGGTGCACATCAAAAGGTCAGAAACAAAACAGTAAGGCCAACCAGAAGGACCCCAAATGTTGCACCTTGGAAAAGTGTCCAGACTCTACCACATCCCACAAATCCTAACTATAGCTTTTTGGACCATTTACAAATATATGAAAGATAAGTTTATATCAAATAATTATTTAAATCATTCACTACAGTGTCCACTTTAGTCTTTTGCCGAGTGTATTACAGAATAAGATTTGTACATACTTATCAATGAATAGATTTGAATATGATATGAATTATGAACATAAGCATTATGGTCTTGGATAATAATCAATGGCAAGAATTGACAGTTTGGCTTTTATATCTGGGAACTTCAGAATTTTCAGGGAGAGACCATTAATTTGTCTGTGTTGGTCTAATTGCACTGGAACATTTATATAAAACATCAAGTGTTAATGCAACCCCACATGCCACCCCCCCCCCCCAACAAAAAAACAGTATTGTTTGTAAATCTGCAATTCAGGTAATTGCATCATATCACATGGTCATATACTGTAGCTTACCACAAAGCTTGAGCTCTCATCTTTTCAAGGAATCTGTCTAAGAAACAAACCTGTATAATACTAAACAAATAATAATAATGTTCATTCCTCAATGTTTTCTGATGGGGAATCTCCCCTTCTTTCGTCAGTGCATTGTTCTTCATCATCTGAGTCTAGCACCCGTTCAATGGCTCTCAAGTCTACACCGATGTCATTCATACTGTCTCCAGCATGTTGGGGTAGTGATGTCCCAGCCTCATCAGAGGGGTCCATGGAGAAGAGGGAATCTTCTGCCAGGGAGCTTCCATGAGCCTGATGACCCAGGCTCTGGGATGATGTGCTGGCGACAGAGTCGGGCATCGTAGAATCAGTCATGAATAGAGATTGGGAAGAAGGACAGTGCTCCCGAGACCCTCCCGAGAAGGCATCTGCATGGTTGTCTTCAGCTAGAGAGTCCACATGTGTCTGGTGGTCCAGGCTCTGCGAGGAGCTCCTTGCCACAGAGTCTGAAATGGCAGCATCTGTCATGAACAAAGAGCGAGCAGAACTGCAGTGTTCTTGAGAGCCAGCAAACGCGTCCGAATGGCTGTCATCCTCCTCCTCAAGTGAGAAGGATTGAGAGTTGTACGCCGGCATAGACTGGACAGCAGAAGACATTGATGGACTCTCACCAAGGTCAAAGAGCGGTGTTGTCAGGGAGCCATCATGGATCTCATCATCTCCTGGAGTATCACTCGAGGTGTAGGGATAGGATGACTCCAGGTGGGATCGTGTGACCGATGAGGACGAGACAAAGTTGTCACAGTCAAGAACTATAGGTGACTCCTGAGGAACGGAAATGGCAAGCTGAGACAGGGTACTGCATGGCTGCTGCTGATCAGTGCTTGGATCAGTACTTCCTTCTGTCTCCTCACCTCGGACACCATACACAGTAATGGATGCAGAATGATCAGAAGGTATTGTCTCCTTGGTCTCTTCTGAAATGGTGTCATGCACCAACCGTCGCAGACTAGATGTCTGTTGGCCTATAGCTTGCCCAATCGCTTGAGAACTATCACTTTGCACTTCATACAACGTCACAGAAACAGTGTGGGTTGCCATAGAACCAGAATCAGCATCAGCATCAGGCAGCCGGCTGACTTTCCTTGGCACTCTCTTCTTTCTCTTTGCGCTGCCCTGTCCTCTCGAAGGTGGACTTACCAACTCAGCCATATATGTCGGAACAGGCTTTGGTCTGATAGGTCTTCCACGAGAGCTTCTCAAAACCCTAGAAGATGTCGCTTCCTGAACCTCCTCCATTTGATGTCTTCTCCTAGCAGGAATGTACTCTTGCTGTTCAACAGCCTCTTCAGGTGCCATGGGTCTCACAAGATGTCTTTCATCACTTGTACTGCTAACCACTCCAGTCATGCTGTCCAAGCTGTTGCTTCCGGGCCACGGCTTCCGTCTGAAGCGCTCATACCGCTCACATGACTTCAGGTGCCTGCTAAGGTGGTACTTGGTGATGAAGCCTTTGCCGCAGAGATGGCACTGGTGATCCCTCTGTCCGCTATGAATCTTCATATGCCTCATCAGCTGGGAGTCCTTGTAAAATCTTCTATCACAGACAGGACAGCTTACCTATAACAACATAAAAAGAGAATATTTGTTGACTTCTTATGTGAATGTAGAGCTCTGAACAGACATTGCCCCATCAGCTCAAAGTCCTTCCAATATCTTCTTATCAATTACAGGACAACTCATCTATAACTATGATGTAGAGGATAGAGGAGAGAATTCAATGACTTGATGAGTAAAGAAGCATAAGAGGGGAAGGAGGCAGAGAGGCTGACCACAACAAAAAAAGGATGGATTGCATAAATGATAAAGAAATAGCTGTGGGACACAGTATGAGTTTGATAGACGATGGTATGAAGTAGGAAAACACAATCTCCAACCTCAACCCCACCTCAATTTACCAAGCAGAATATGATAATGTAACTCACTTTCTTGACTTCTCTGTGTTGTTTCATGTGATAGCTGAGGTCGCTGTGTCTGGCAAACATCTTCTCACAGACGAAGCATTGAAGGTCCCTTTTGCCTGTATGGGTGACCTGATGGGATACCAGATGGATCTTCTGCCGGAAAGACTTGTTGCAGGCTTGGCAGGTGAATTGTTTCACTCCTAGAACGGTGATGAAAAGAAATAACAGTAAAAATGACATCAAAAATAATAATATTGACAGCAAATGATATATGGATATTGAGCTAACTTTGTCTGTTTCTGGAAGAGAGATGTACACTAATCAATCTAAAGATGAGTTCTGGTCATTCGATTGCATTGTGAAAGAAAAGGAGTGGAATGGATCAGAAAAAGTTGATCATGTAGCATGTAAGTATTGATGTGTACTGCAAAGTTCTGGAGTCATCAAAATCATAATAAATTTGGCACAGTCTTGGTAAAGTAACAATTAAGCACTGTACACAGAAAGATGTATATGGGACTACATAAATGGTGTCAGGGCTACTAACCTTGATTTCCTAATCTTTCTATGCTCATTACTCAGCCAGTATACATTGTCTACCAAAATTGTTTGGCAAATGACATTTATTTGTAATCTTGAACATTCAGTGTAAGTTTCGTTTGATTCTGTGAGAATTCATTTTCTTTTTCTTACCAGAACTCACCTTTATCTTTAAACTTTTTCTTCACTTTGCAATAAAAATACAAAACAACTTTAAACAACTTGTTTGAAGTACAATAACTGGTAATATGACAGAAACATGGATGAAAATATTCACATACTCCAAACAGGGAAAGAAGCCACAAAGAAAAAGCCATTATAAGAGGCCAACCAACATGACCATTTCTATGCACAGAGAATGACATGGCTATCGATAAAAATAAAAACAGCCTTCAACACTCAAAACCTTGTGCAAGATTTGCTTTCCACACTGTGGAAATGAATATCATACCTGTGTGTATAAGTGAGTGAGCCCTGAGGTTGCTGCGGTCTGTGAAACCCTTATGGCAGATCTTACAACGATGAGGCTTCACCCCTAGGTGGGTTAGCAGGTGGTTACGCAGCTTGGACGAAGAGGAGAACACGTGGGAACACACGTTACACTTGTGCATCTTATCTGGGCATCGCAGAGAGGGGTGGGCCTCCTTTAGGTGGTGTCGCAGCTGAGTCTTATCCAGGAAACTACGGTCACATTTCTGACAATCCAGAGTGCCCTTGCGATCTTTGATCCCTGAACCATAACAATTGAGATGGGAAAATTACAAATGATTATGAAAGTGATGTCTTTGGTGATGATTATGATTATGAAAGTGATGTCTTTGGTGATGATTATGATTATGAAAGTGATGTCTTTGGTGATGATTATGATTATGAAAGTGATGTCTTTGGTGATGATTATGATTAAGAAAGTGATATTGATAAATTTCTGACAATCCAGAGTGCCCTTGCGATCTTTGATCCCTGAACCATAACAATTGGGATAGGAAAATAACCAATGATTATGAAAGTAATGATTTTGGTGATGATTATGATTAAGAAAGTTATTATGATAATGATAATAACAGTGATGATGAGAGTAATGACAATAAGGATAATGATCATGGTGATCAATGATTATGATGGTGACGATGATAATGGTGACGATGACAATGATAATGTGCTGTTAACATTAATAATGAAGATAATTATGATGTTGAAGTCGATGATGATCACAAGTATAGTGCATAATGCATTGACAACTGATTTTTCCCATTCCCATAGCCTTTGACACAGGAGCCACCCAGTTTCAGTACGCAATGGGTTAACATACTATTTCAATATTCCACATCGACCAAGTTCATCACAAGGGTTATATATCGAAAATAATATCGCTAGTGATATTCGTTTGTCTCGCAATGTGGTCAATAAGGAATCTAAAAGATCACGACGTTTCGTGCGCTATCTGCAACACTTCGTCAGGTGATAAAAACTAATGTAAGCAAGGGTCTTTTATACTTTACGGGAGGACCGGCAGAGCGGTCTATAATTCCAATTATCGATCAAATTATAGACCTCTCCGCCAGTACTCCCGTAAAGTATAAAAGACCCTTGCTTACATTAGTTTTTATCACCTGACGAAGTGTTGCAGATAGCGCACGAAACGTCGTGATCTTTTAGATTCCTTATTGACCACATTGCGAGACAAACGAATATCACTAGCGATATTATGTTCAATACTACATCCGCAATGAGTAATATATTTAGCAAGGAATATAAATATTCTACTTTATTTTGACATCTACTAATATGAATTAAGTTGATCTTATTTGTACACTGGAAACAGTGTTATTTGTATGATCATATATAAATGGTGTAGCACACAAGTTTTAATGTTTTGACCAGGGTACCAATACACAGAAGAATAAACATGAAATATATTCCTTGAAATAGCATGTACTCTAAAACAACCTTTGAAGGAAGTATCATACCTTGACAGACCCCTACCTCCAACCCCTAGATTTTCTTTGCACTACCAAGTTTCACCGACAATGCTCCTTTTCTAAAAGGGATTTTTCATGGGCATAACAGCTATCCAACATCAGATATATCCAAAATAATGGTGACTGTGCCTTTTCATCGATTGCCCCTGCCCTCTGGAACAAACTCCCACCCCATATTCAAAATGCCCCATCCACTGAATCATTCAAAACCCTTCTCAAAACCCACCTTTTGAATCAGTTATAGTTTACTGGAGGCGCACACAAGTAGTTAATTCCATTAAACTCAATTGTATTGTATTGTATTAGTAATATTATATTTTATTTTGTTGCTTTTAAGGTATTTAACATGTTGAATAATTATACTAAGTTAGACAGTACCACCCGTGCGCATAGAAATGCCTGTATATAGCACCCTATAAATGTAATTATTATTATTATTATTATACGATCACTAGTTTGTTACCTCTGAGTCGGCCATACTCCTTGGAATACCAGACTATGAGCTCCTCACCCGGTAGAATGTTTTGAAACGAAGTAAAATAGATGTGGGCTCCACTCTGAAAAGCCATCAGGTTATGTTTTTTGGCAATCTTAATGAACATCATCCAATTGGAACAACTCTCATCGTTGGTAAACAGGAGCTGGCACAGCTTTCCATCAGAGAAAATCTGCCATAGGAAGAATAAGGAAGAATATGAATGACCCTTTCAACAATAAACCTTATCAAATGAAAACTGTAGATCTAACACGACTAAGGGCCAGTCATCAGAAAATTCTAATGACCAGTTATGCCTACAGTGTAGTAATATGGCCACTGTCAACCAATCATTTGATTCGGATCTACTTCTTCATGTTGTAAACATGTAACAGAAATTTAGAGCTTATGAAAGTGATTAACAGCAAAAAGTGGTTTATCTGATGATCTTGTTAGGGTAATCTGTCATAAATCTGACAGCAGAGCAAATTGGGTACAATGTCAGGGGGAAGTAGAGCAAACTGTTTTTGTTTTTGTTTTAATTTAAAATAACATATTAAAACGAGAAGGGGATGTACGGACTGACAACCCCAAAACATAAACAGGAATTCTTAAGACTTATTGGTAGTATTCAGCCAACAGGTCACGTAACTGCATTTTTCAGCTGGACCCAGTAGTTATAATAAAACAATATCTCACCCTCCATGCTTTTTGTCCGATAGCATCTAGGTCTGTGGACGAATTGATGTCAGCAAGTTTCCCAACGACAGGACCAAAACGGGTGTTCATCTGAATCTCATGCTTGGCAAAAACTCCTTTAGGAAAATATAACAAAAGAAAATGTAAGAGAAGGGACTGGAGTATATTCAAGAATTGTAAACAGACTGTGTCAAGTCTGTTCAAAAAGACAACTTATTAGCCCATCAATACTAGTGAACAGGAGGGATTAGACTACCCAGCAAGGTCACTGGACAGGTGGTTATCTCATCAAATCAGCTCTCAATTAACATAAGAAAAAGAGGATCATGGGGACCAATGGTCACCGATTATGCATTATTATATAGAGGAAGCAAGGGGTTATAAGTAGTGCATTGTGGCTTTAGGACAACCTGGGTCTGATTCCAATCCCGTACAAGACTACTGAAGAGTTCAAAGTCTATGTTTAAAGCTAATTCTAAAGCCAAGTAAACTCAGCCAAGGTCGAGTGTTTGTTGATTTTTGTCACCATGTGGTCTACTGTAGAGTAAAGTCTAGCTGTTACTTGATTGAATACCGCATTGCACATCCGTTTGCAAGACAGTAACCTACATTACCACTCTTTGGCCAGACTTTGTTAAATGTCAGTGTACTGGTATGAAGGAATTTCTTGGTTTGGTTTGGTTTTATTTTCCGTATAAAAATTCAAATAATACAAGAATACAATTAACAAATATAATAAAAATCAAGAATTAATAACGGCTGGAATGCTCTATTCAGAGCAATTATTAAAATGGCTCTGTTCTTCCTAGAGGTCCAGAAATAGATAATTAAACACAGAAATAAAACATAAAATATAACAAAGATATTACATACGCACTATCCAAAAAACCCTCCCAAACCTTCTATATCATATTATGAATATGACCGTTACCATCCCCTCCCCCTCCCCCTTCACACCAAAAGTTTATAGTTCAAAATTTAGAATCCATTCATCTAGGCCATGCCGAAATAGATGAGTGTGTTCAATCATAATGGTGTATTTTTTAATCCTGTGAGCACCAAAATCTATTGCCTACATGTGCACATTCGTTTTAAATAGCCAGGGTATTATTTGAGCACATCAAAAATACACCATTATGATTGAACTAAAACCAAATGGTTAGAAATTCTAATACCATACCTGTCTCGCCTGGAATAACAGAGGAGGGTTTAAACATCAACAGATCTGGTAAAGACTGCCTTGCTCTGGTTTCAACTACTTTGTCTAGAACCATCACACTGGGTTTCTGATGAGGGCAGCATTTCACAATAGATTTACAGGAACTACACCCTACAAAATGATAAAGACCAAAATGGCAATGAGACCTGGTGATCTGCGTGTGCTGCATGTTTCAAACAAAGGACCCTCTCTGACCAATTAAACATTTTTTCCCCACTATCCTTGATCAAGTAGGTTAGAAGAAATACTGCTACACAATAGCAGTTCTATGGGATTTTTTTGTTTGTTTTTGGGGGTGGTTTTATTTTTTTTTTTTTTTTAATTATTATTATTATTATTATTATTATTATTATTATTATTATTATTATTATTATTATTTTTTTTTTTTTTTTTTTTTTTTTTGGGGGGGGGGGGGGGGGGGCTCAAGTGAGTCAAGTCCTCAAAAGAACATACCGAGGCGCATGTATGAATGAATGCAAGAACCCCCCATCTCCCCTAAAAGCCTCCCAAAATTTTTCTTCTAAAACTGCTACTGCTGGTAAATTTAATACATGTTTGTCTTTAGCTAGCTACATGAACATGACAGATAGTGAAGGAAAAACTAAAGAATTTGATAAAGAGTTGCAGGAAAGAAATCCCATGTATTACTGTTTCTCATCATTGTCACAGACACTTCAAAATTCAGTTATTGTGTCATTTAATTTAATTCATTTTTGATATCAGAACTTCAGATGTGTACATTATCAAAGTCAACAGACTTCCATTTCTTCCAAATTTCTTCCTTGAGGGAAGTTTGAAGAATGCCAGAATCACCAACAGGGAAAAAATACACGGGGGCTTGGGGCAAATTAGCCCCTGAAACGCCAAAAAGAGCCCCCAAAAAGTCATAAAAGAGCCCCTCAAAATAGCATAGAGTTCAATGCAAAAAAAATAGAGAGTGTCATTTTCATGCAAGCAAGCTTGAAAAGTAGCCCCCAAAATTTGTAAAGTATTTTTTTCCCTGATCACCAACAATTTTCATTAATCCTGTACCAAGCCCAATGTTGTAAGTGTTAATTGACATCTTATCTTGAAGTTAAAGGTATTACAATGTTTTGGTATGGGGTCATGAATTTGGTTCAAATTAACAATTTCGGAAGCATATGCATTCCTACAATATTCATTAATCGTTGTTGCGGTTGAAATCTAGTCTAAAGTTATGAAATTATAAATAATAAACTCTTTATGTTGTATAGCTCCTTCTCAAGGTCAAGATATTAATTTAGCTATGAAACAATTTTTCTTGACTAAAATCAACTGATTAGCTAATCCCGAGTGGAAATTATATATTACAACTACATATTCTGAGATTTTCATGGTCGCAACTACCATTGTACGGCCATAGGCGCTATTTGAAATTTATCAAAATTTACCGGGAGCACCGGTAAATTTTTATATTCAATTTTTCTCGAAAACAGAAGTGTTTTAGGGGCTAATTTTTTTTAGTGCTTATAATACATGTACATCCACAGGGGCATCCAAATAAAACAAAATTGTAAAGATTCACTATCCACCCATTTTTCAAAATTTCCCAAAACTTTGTATTACCTTCAAAGGCACTAAATAATAGTATGAAGTATGATTTGTAATGATTGCATTAAATATAAAAGATCAAGTATTGCATGAAAATAAACAGTATTTTCAATAATTATTTGGTCCTGTTGTACAATCCCTATGTGTGTATTGTCAAATTTAAGGCTTGCATGACTGTATGTGCCACTACTGCATAATGATGAACAAGTATGTTACGGAAGGCACTAAATGCATGTTTACGGTAAGATTTAGGCATGAAGTACATTTTTGCAGATTATCATTTGATACAAAGGTTAGGCAACCATTAATGCACTGATAAGTGTATTTTTATTGGTGTTATTATGCTTTTATTAGCTAAAATCAAATCAAATAAAATGTACCTGCATACTTTAATACTATAGATGACTGAGATACGTAGGGAATAAACATTCTATCATGTAGCAAAATTTGGTGATATGATAAGAAATTGTTAGGTAAACACGCATTCGTTTCAAGTTAGTAAATAATGTATTTGTATTATAAATGAGATTGAACAATGTTACAGATTTTATGGTTTGTAACCAAGAGATTTATTATTGTCAATTTTATCTATCAATTTTACAGATTGAACCACCACATGCATCAAAAGCCATTGTCATGGTATTTTGCTCAGTGAATGTTATCACTTGCTGTACACTGTATGTAAGTGGAGATACCTGTCAAACAATTGTCATATGACACACACGCTGAGGGTATCTTTAATATGGTTTTCTAGGACTCATTTTGGTCTTTGGTGGATGAGCCTTTGGAGTACCGGTACAGTGAATAACATTAATATCATTAACATTCATAGTTTAATACAACATATTAAGAGAATGCTCTCCCATTTTAGCTGCTACAGGCCTTTCCCCCACATGGGAAATGAGTCAAGACTCAAGACATTTAGACCTCCCTGCAAGGTCACTGACAGGTGGTTATCTCATCAAATCAGCTCTCAATTAACATAAGAAAAAGAGGGTCATGGGGGACCAACAGGCACCGATTAGGCATTGTTTGCTATATAGAGGGCGCAAGTAGCTATAAGTAGTGTAGTGGGGCTTTGGGGCTTTAAAGCTTACAATGGGAGCACCAGGAGTGTCACGTATGCCAGAGATGAGCGCAATACAAGAACCCACTATTATTATTATTATTATTAATTACTTTCATAAACAAACCTTTACTCTTGCCCAACATTTCTATAGATTTTAATTCATGAATATGCAACATGTATCAAATAAAACCAAAAAAATGTAAGGAATATACTCACATGATTCCTGCTGTTTTTTAACCTCATGATTGATGTTATGCTGCACTATCCCACCGCTTGATTTGACCCCGACCCCACAGGTCATGACCCTTGACCTCTCCTGTGGAGGCGTGATCAAGGACGGTAGGGATGAGAGTTTCACCAACCCCGGAGAAACCTGCTGGGGTTGTAAGTTGAAAACATCAGGGCCTTGGTTCAACAAAGCTGGTTGTAAATCCATAGAGTTGGTAAAACCTGAGAAGCTGTTATTGTCATGGAAACCTTTCTGTGAGGTCAAAGGTGACAGCAGCTGGGTCTGTGACCCAAAGTTGAGGGGAGGGGAGAACAAGTTGATGTTTGAAATACTGTTTGTTAGGACAGAAGGTACTGAAATGCTTGTGCTCGAGGCCAATGGCATTGCTTCAGATTGACCACTTTGACCACCCGAGGGCAGTACGTTGAACTGGGAAGATAATGAGGTCACCTGAGGGGTGAAAGGTTGGCTTTGGAGCTGAGATGAACCAAGTTGGTTTGGAACAATCATGATCTGCTGGGGTGGATTGGTCTGCGCTGGCTGAACGACCGATGCTGGGGATGCAGTCGAGGTGATGAGATTGCAAATTTGGGAGAGGAGATGGGCGGAGTCCTGTGACGTCTGTGTCCTGATTGGTGGATGGGCTGGCTGCTGGCCACACCTATTGACCTGAGTGACCCCAGATGCAGGGTGGGCCAGTCCATTGTTTGGTAGGTGGATGGCGATGTTCATATTTACATGAGGTGGCTGCTGTCTAGTCAAAGATGATGAATTGGACCTGGAGAATGAATCGCATGAAGAGCAATAATAGTTTGTAAAAAAATCTGTGAAATAAGAAAGCCAACAAAAACAGTTACTTTTTACTTTTTCCTAATCCACTTTTTTTTTTATTAATATCATTATTTTGCTTTTGCCTGCCTCTTTTTTGCTTTATTTATTCATTTACCCATTGAACATTATTTCTCTCATGTCATACTTCATAGGCTTAATAAAGGAATTGCCCGATCCTGCTGGCAATGGGTTTTAACCATTCATTGTATGAACAACTTATGTACGCACATAAGATAGGTGAACCTGTTAACAGCATCATTGGTTAAGCAGACTGATTTGCATATACAGGTACATAACATGTCAAAACAGCAACATCAAAACTCTACCTTTGTGAAGATACTGGTTGAGTAGCATTGATGTGAGTGCCTTGTATAATACCAGTGGATGATTGGTAGACAACAGTCTCAGGATTGCCTGTGACTGGCTTCAATAGACCAGCATTGTTGATGAATGCAGGAACTGGTGCTGGTTGTGATTGTGTTGGAACAAGAACCCAGTTAGAACCTAGGAATAGACAACATCAATAAAACAAAAGAATGAGTGTCACTGTTCATTGTTTTACATATTTCATGATTTAGATAATAATACTTACAGGAAAGTTGAACTCTAGAATTATTGAAATGATTATCTTTTGACAATACTTTAAAATAGTTTAAAAATGATTGGATAGTAATAAATTTAAAAAATAGCTGTAAAGTGGACACTGGGTGGTACAGTGTAGATCTGATCTAAAACCATCCATCTAAAAATTGTCCATCCATTATTATTTTGTTATGACTTCATTAATGTAAGTATTAGCCAGGCCCAAGGTAGTGCCACTTCATTTCTCTAATCTACCTTATGTAACTCCCCGTACATGTACTTCTACATGTACCACTGTTTACCTATCTGTTTCAGCGTGTAGAGCTTCTTAGCCGGTACCTGTGGCTGGATGTTCAGTGTGCTATGCTGAAGTAAGGCCATTCTCTGCCCTGCCTGAACCCCTGCATTAGGTACAAGAACAACCGGTCCAGAAGGGGGTACAGTCTGCATTTGCACAAGAAAGGGAAAGAAGATGACTAGTAAATGAGTATTAATTAAACCCCACTGTCCTACTTGTAGCTACTTGCACCCTCTATACAGCCAACAATGCCTAAGCAGTACCCGTTGATCCCCCATGATGCCACTTTTTTATGTTAATTGAGAGCTGATTTGATGAGATAACCACCTGCCAGTGACCTTGCAGGGAGGTCTAATCCCTCAATGCCAAACTATGTTCCCATTTCTTGCAATATTGTCTTCTTAATAATGTTTGACGAATGAGACAGCCTAAGATAGCAAGCATCCATTCATTGCATCAGAATAGAATGCATTTTTATAAAAATTTGAATTCCAAAATGTTGTGATAACCTGAGCAAATCCTTTGATAGGCCGAATCTGGAGTGTGGGTCATAACCCAGGATTTAGATTATGTACAATACCCAAGTCACAGCTAGGAGAAAGACACCAGCTTGACAATACCCAGAAGAAAATAAAAAACTAAATGTCAACAAAATTGGGGGATTTTGAGTCAGTTTGGAGGTGTGCCTGATGTACACGTACAGTTGTTCTCAAAAATATTCATATCCTCACAATTTTTTGTGAAGAAATTAATGTGTTTTGTCAAGTTTGTTTATATGTACATTAAATTTACTTCTTTGCCTCACCTGGGTATGAAGAATTGGCAGGGTGGCAGGTTGGTGAGTGGTTGGTAGTGAGCCAGTGACCGGAGGAGAGGGTACGGCAGTCACCGGAATGCTCATCTCTGTCGGTACTGGAACCGCTGTTCTCAGCCCTGTCGGTCTACCGCAATGGGTGGTGCATGGCTGCACCATCTGAGTCGTACCACCATGAGGAAGGGTCAAGCTGCCCCCTTCCTGATGGGATCGGGGTACACCAGCAGCAGGGGGTGGGGAGGGGTCCAGGGGTACCTGTCCTATCGCAGTGGACTGGACGACTGCGTTGACTGCACTACTTAGCTGCTCAACGTTGATGGTAGCTAGTGTGTCATTCATTGTAACTCATCTCCTTTTCCTCAGTAAAGAAAGAATGAAAGTGCTTTGTAGGATTTTAAGAAATATGAACATTTTAAACTAGGTCAGATGGTGGCATTCATGTAAAGACAGTGTAATGTCAATGGCAATGAGGGATTTGACTTTGCTGTCTAAAAACGATTATAAAATTACTATACACTTTCTCACAGGTTTCACGGCAAACCGCTGCACGATACAAGTGCATAGGCCTACCGACAGTTGGCCGGGGTGCAAGCGCGCGTGCTTGAAGTTGGCAACTGTAATGATTATCATCAATTCATAATGTGAATTACTTGCATGAATTTAATGAGGATCTGAGAATACAGTCACTAACTTCACGCACGCACACACCCCGCCTAGAAAATCTACTGTCAGTGACTCCAGTAAAGCATAGAGAGTCAATGCTAATGCATATTGACCTCTAGCACTGCACTACGTGTTAATAGGCTGCATTTGAATACATGAATAGTCAATACACTCACAACACACAAATGCACGCAATCATGCCGATGCGGCTGATCGGCAAGTTTGACAGTAGACTTAATCTAAAATTTGAATTGTTAAATTATTCTTTCTAAGTAACAATAACATTGGAAAGTTGAAAAAATTGTATTTTACTGCTATTTATGTAGCTAAATTACACCAAGTATATTACACCAAATTTTTTTTCTTCTTCAAATCTGGGCAAACCATACATCAAATTAAAGCTTTTGATGGGAACAATCCAATGGTGTAGAGATAATTTGAATCAGAGGTTCTTTCACTGAGTTATGGCTTGTCAAAGGTGTCAATTCCCCCTATATGTCTTCTGCCGCACCTTCTGGAAATAACTGGGATCTTACTCTCTAATCTTTCATCAGGTTTTAAAAAAAAATACATTTATTATTCATCAAATCTAAGCTTTTCCTATGAGGAATACAGTGGCAAAAAAAGATATGTTATAGAAAGTTCCTAGACCTAGTAGAAGCTGTATCACTTAAAATTTCACTTAACGGGAGGGAAAAGTAAGGTGGCCTTGAATTAAAGAGCACTTGCGAACCTGCATAGGCACCACTGAGAGAGCCCTGTTGCAACAAAATGAGACAAAGTTTCAGCATGAAAGTAAGGTGTTTCTATGAAGAAAACATCTCAAAGAATGGAATAAAAACCGGATTTTGAATGGCGCCTAAGAACTTGCCTTAAAAAACTGGGTCCAAAGTAACAAAATCAGTGGCTCTTTTTTCGAAGATGGATGATTAAAAATGTTTAAAAAAGTAAATGCAAACTGCTGATGAGGTTTTGATTGGTCTTCTTGAATTGCATGTAGTACTATATACAGCTGACCTGTGCAAAATTTTGTTTGGTAATAGACTCTACGTCATAATGACAAGGTTAGAGTGAAAAATTGAACCGAAAGTTGACCATGATTTAGGGTCACTTTTTTCAAGATGGCGACGTCCATGGGATGCTCAGTGTGAATTGACGCTCTGGAAAAATAACATCAAATGCAGGTTTCGCGATCATTTCAGGAAGTGAATTGTTGATTTCTCAAATTTTAATATAATAGACTAGAGTCTAGAGTAGTAGATCTCTAGGCCTAGAGACACAAATTTAGTGAAAATCTTGTGAAATGTAGCCACAGTGCCATGATGAAAAATGCAATGTTAACACGTTTGCAGATAGGAAATGTCTTAAACGCGAACCCGTTTAGGTCTAGATCTAGTCTAGGCCTAGAATCTATGTAATTTTTGTTAGATCTAACAAGTTAGACCTGTGTAATTAATCGTCACTAACTTAAGTACTAATAGGCCTACCGATTTTGAGTGAAATCAGTTGAGTTTTGTACAGTCTAACTGTGGTGTTTGAAATGTTGAGAATCAATAGCACAGCGTTTAATACACAGCCAGCGCCAGAATAGTAATGCAGCTAAATCCAGATCTATGTGTGGCCCAGGGAGGCCTAGTTCTATACAAAGTATAAACCACAACCGTACAACGCAAAAATGTACGAGTGGGACAATGTGTAAAATTAACTTGTTAAGATCTGGAAATGAAGATGTAAAAGATTCCCCGATTGTCTTAACAATGCAGACTAGGCTATGCAAATAGTGAATACCGTATATGAATTATCTCGATTATAGTACCTTAAATTAATCTGTTGATTCTTAAACATGAATGTAAGCCATCAAACAACAGTCAGTGCAGTAGACTTCTTGTTTTGACTCGCCTCGGTGTTACAAACGTACGTGTCCGGCCGCCTAGCCGCTGTGACCGCGTAGAATGTAACCCGCACCGATCGTCCGAGTATTCGAGATCGGACGATCGGTGCGGATTTTATCCGCGCAGAATGTCCGTGTCGGACATTCCGTGCGCGCCTCAAATGTCTGACGGACAATCTGTGTGGAAGAGGTCCCGCATCAATAGTCCGCCTGCCGCACCGAATGTCCGTACTCTAGTCCACACGTATACATAGTCAAAACAATATAATTATACTTAATGAATGAAACGACTGGATAAGCCATATTCAGCTTTGTCAGCTAGCTAGGGATGACACATCAGGTCTTCCCGGCGCGGATCCAGGGAAGGGGTGGTCGAGAATGCCTTGACCCCCCAACCGCCAACAAAAAATGAAGAGAGAGAGAGAGAGAGATAGAGAGAGAGAAGGTAAAGCGGAGAGTAAGGGAAAGGAAGAAGAGGAAAAAGAAAAGAAAAGAGGAAAAAGAAGGAGATCGGGGGCGAAAGGCCTTCGCCACCCCCCCCCCCCCCCCTCAGCAAAAGAGAGAGAGAGAGAGAGAGAGACAGAAAGAAGGAAGGAAAAATAAGGGAAAGGGAAAGAAGAGACAAGGGGGAAAGGAAGAAGAAAAGAAAAGGGAAGAGAAGGAGATCGGGGGGGGGCGAAAGGGCTTTGCCTCCCAGGCTGTTGCCCCCCCCCCCCCCCCCCAGCAAAAAGAAAGAGAGAAGGAAGAGAAGGGAAAGAAAAAAGGGAAAAGAGGAGATAAAGGGAAGGAAAGAAAAGAAGGGGGGATATCAGTTACAGTTTTCCCGCCAACAAGCTGGGGATCGGGGGTGCAAATGGCCCTCGTCTACCCCCCCCCCCCCCCCTTCTACAGCAAACTTAAAAGAGAGAGAAAGGAAGAGAAGGGAAAGGGAAAGAAAAGAAAGGTACGGGAGATCGATTGTGATTCTTCCTACCAACGCGGTGTGGATAGGGGCCTTCGCCTGCCCTCCCCCCTCAGCAAACAAAGAGAGAGAGAGAGAAGGAAGGAAAAGAAGGGAAAAGGAAAGAAGAGAGAAGACGAAAGGAAGACGAAAAGAAAAAAGGGGAAAGAAGGAGATCGTGGGGCCGACAGGGCCTTGCCGCCCATGCTGTTGCCTCCCCCCCCCCCCTCCCCCGCAAAAAATTAAGAGAGAAGAAAGGAAAGGAAAAGAAAGAAAAGAAGAAAAGAAAAAAAGGGATATCCGTTGCAATTTTCTAGCAAACAAGATGTGGATCGCGGAGAAAGGCCTTTGCCTCTGAGCAAAGTACTTTTGAAGCCCTCACTGTTGTGAGGAATAGATTAAATGCAATTTTGTTACCCTTTCCTGAACCCACTCACTAAGTAAATTGACGTTATTTTACATGCGAAACGATGACGTCACAATATGAACAACCTGCATCACACATTCGGGACAATGTTGGATACCCATTGCAATTTTCAGATATGGGTTAACGTTGTTTGTATATTTACCGCCAATGGCCAGTGGTGATATTTCCTCTATTTTTGGCATTTTGAATGAGATCCACTGAATAAATGATACTTTCTACAAATTAATGTTTGTTTGATTTTTATATTTTTTCCGTCACATTTGAGCATAAAAATCGGAAAAATAATCACATATTCTGAGGGCACTTCAGCGTGTATGTGTCTGATCTGGGAAGGCAAAGGACATTTTGCATGCTGACCTAGCGACTCTCTTGGAGTAAAATAGGCGACAAATTTACATAGAATTGTCCGGATATTCATTACAAAAATGTATGATTAGGCTGATTAATTTACATTTTTGATAAATTAAGTCTCAGAGAGGGGGAGGTAAGAGCCTGAGAGAGGAGGAGTGGGAGTAAAAGAGAGAAGGTGGTTGTTGGGTGGAGTCGTCTCGTCGAGTGAGCAAGAAATTAGACACGGGTAAATATGTTGCTATGTCGGGTCAGCTATGTCGGTATTCTTGCTCGATCCTCATGTACTATATCAATACAGAAGTTTGAAGTCGGTGAGATGTATATATTGTCGGTCGGCCGACAAGTTTTTTTCCCTACGAACTGTGACTTTTTATCCGCTGTAACGACTTCGAGAGTGACTACAACTACAATACTTGTATTTTCTAGAAGTTTTACTTTCCTATAATATCAGCTAAAGAAATCAGATAGTTGACATTTTCGTGGATACTAAATTCAAACAAGGATAAAGATTCAACAACGGTACGACTAATCGTCTTTCTTTCTCTATATTTTGATGAAACGCCCAAAATTCCGCGCTTCGCGCGGGAGGGGAATATTTATTCAGACGAGTCGCGAACGGTACAACGAATCGTCTGCTTTCTCTAATAATTTAAGGAAACGTCAAAGCTTCCGCACTTCGCGCGAGAGGAGGGAAACTGAATTCAGACAAATTAGGGTTAAGAGTCGCGAACGGTATAACGAATCGTCTGCTTTTTCTAATAATTTAAGGAAAGGTCAAAGCTTCCGCGCTTCGCGCTAAAGTGGGAAATTGAATTCAGACAATAATTGGGGCTTATTAAGAGTCGAAAACGGTACAACGAATCGTCTTCTTTCTCTAATAATTTAATGAAACGTCAAAGCGACCGCGCTTTGCGCGGGAGGGGGAAACTTCATTTAGACGAGTCGAAAACTGTACGTCGAATCGTCTTCTTTCTTTAATAATTTAAGGAAACGTCTAAGCTTCCGCGCTTCGCGCGGGCGGAGGAAAACTGAATTCAGCTAAGTATTAAGAGTCGAAAACGGTACAACGAATCGTCTGCTTTTTCTAATAATTTAAGGAACGTCAAAGCTTCCGCGCTTCGCGGTCCAATGGCTTCTGTTGGTAAATCAATAATGACGAATCAAAATCGATTTTAGCAACAGTCCACCACACGGTGATTGCTACAGCAATCACCGAGTTGAAGGACCGCAATGGCTCCTCGCTGCAAGCAATAAAGAAGTATATCGCTACCAGTATATTCGCGCGAAAGGGGAAACTTTATTCAGACAATTAGGGCTTATTAAGAGTCGAAAACGGTACAACGAATCGTCTGCTTTCTCTAATAATTTAAGGAACGTCAAAGCTTCCGCGCTTCGCGCGAAAGGGGAAACTTTATTCAGACAATTAGGGCTTATTAAGAGTCGAAAACGGTATACGAATCGTCTTCTTTCTCTAATAATTCAATGAAACGTCAAAACTTCCGCGCTTCGTGCGGGAGGGGGAAACTTCATCCAGACAAGGATTAAGAGTCGAGCACGGTTCAAAGAATCGCTTTCTTTCTCTATTATTTAATGAAACGTCAAAGCTTTCGCGCTTCGCGCGGGAGGAGAAGGAGGAGGGGAGGGGGGAAATTCATTCAGAAAAAGATTAACAGTCGAGAACGGTACGATAAATCGTCTTCTTTTCCTAATAATTTAAGGAAACGTCTAAGCTTCCGCGCGCTCTTAAGGTGATTCGCTTGCTCACTACCGCCCCTCCCTAAAATAAGATCCTAGCTCCGCGCCTGCATTAAAATATATAGCTATAATGCTGAATAAATTTACGAAATAATTCGTATATTTAAGTCGTCGAGGAAAATGACCCTTTGCGCATACGCAAGTACTATAGATAGTCCATAGGAAAAATAATTCAGCCTTCGGCCCCGGATTTATAGGGTTAAATTTGTAGATATTGGGACATTTAATTTTGTCGGTAATTGGTGGCTAGTTTTGTCGGTAATCGTTGGCCTCTACACCCCCCCCCCCCCCCCCCCCACTGAATAAGGTCTAGCAACGTCCCTGATGGCAGTGGGTCTTGGCGTCTTCTTTTTTCTTACCTTTTCACCCATCCACACCTCTTCCCCCTCTTCCCCCTCTTCCCCCTCTCAGTCTCCCTGTCTCGATCGATCTCTACCCCTCTGTCTGTCTCTGCCTCTCTCTGTCTGTCTCGATCTGTCGTTCTCTCTCTCTCTCTCTCTCTCTCTTTCCCTCTTGTTTTTCTCTTTCCCACACTAGCTCCCCCTTTCTATCTCTCTCTCTCTCCCTCTCTATTTCCCTCTCTCTCTCTCTCGCTCTCTCTCTCTCTCTCTCTCTCTCTTTGTCCTTCTCTCATCTCTCTTTGTCTTTCTTTTGATACCCACATTTCACATCGTCCTAAAATTACATAAAACATGTAAAAATTAACGTATATCAAATTTTTAAAAGTGTTCCTGACCTCCTACTTATCTTTTTATTTCACCCCGTTCTCTCTCACATCTCTTACTCGCTTTGTTTCTCTTTTTTCTTTAATAATAATAATAATATTAATAATAAAAGGTATTTCTATAGCGCTGTCTATCTAGAAATTCTATTCCGAGGCGCATTTATTATTACCCCAGCTTTAGCCTAGCTGCCATTATAGGCCTACAGCGCTCCAGCAATTCAAGGAATTAATTCCTGCCAGGTACCCATTTACATCACCTGGGTTAAGTGTGGCAAATGTAGATCAATGCCTTGCCAAAGGGCATTAGTGCAGCGGCGGTACTCGTACCGCGGACCTTGTGTTCGACAGTCCGGGGACGTTTCCACTCGACCACGACACCTCTACAGATCATTCCCCCGAGATACGAAATACAGATATAGATGGCAAAACAAAATCTTCGAGAACAAATGCAGACAACACACATTTTGAAGTAGAAATATATATAACAAGATGTATTTATTTCAGCACTTTGTTAATTATTCATATACATATAAGCCAACATTTGGACCCAACATCAACAATTCAAAATATATATCATTATATTTATAGCGTGCATAGAGGTTTTAACCTCATACATATTATTACTGTTTCAATATTGCTTGATGAAATGTTGAAGAAATTTACAATTGTAACAAGATCGCAAAGACTTTCAAGAAATGAACGGAAGCTAGATTACAATACCCTATTGTCACTATGAATATGACGGACAAAGAAAGAGGACAAAATATACAGTTCCTCATTCTACCCTCAACAATTGCTGTGGTAGACGAAGGAACATCACTTCACTGCTATTCTGTAAAAATGTGTAGAACCGGTGAATATACATGTGAATACACATTTTTACATAATAGCAGTGAAGGGATGTTCCTTTGTCTACCACAGCAATTGTTGAGGGTAGAATGAGGAACTGCATATTTTGTCCTCTTTCTTTGTCCGTCATGTTCATAGTGTGTATATCCCACAGAAATCATGTTTAGATTCGTAATGCGACATTCCAATGTTCACACATTTCAATGGCTGGTGGACAGGGCGATTGAAACTGCCTTTTATTTCTCGGAAGTCATTATGATCGCGTTATTTATCCAAGTTCTTGCATTAAAGATATAGCTCATAAATAATGTTGGTTTCAAAGACTCGAAGTACAAAACACCACTGTAAACTGAAAGTTAACCCACTCTACTACAGGCATTGCGATAGCAGCTTATTTAAGAATTGCATACACACAAAAAGATAAATAGGTAATTGCATAAAGCGTTACATTCAGCACAAAAAACAATGTAGTACAGTATTATACAAGGTTTAAAGTGTATACACAGAAACAGAATATGTTGTTCGATATCTCATTCATTCTCCCTTATACCCCATTATAGATATTAAGCAATATCTTGAAATTACGTTTTGTGACAAAATTTGAATATCTGATTGGATATGTAACAGTAAATCAATGGTACATGTAAATACTATTCTATTCTAGCAGTAATTGTGAGACTATGCCTACACCTTTGTTCAATTTTCGAACATTCACATCCATCAAAACGTGCGAATATCTGGCTATGCTAATACTCCAAATCTGATAGAAGTTTACTTTGACAGCAGTTTTGTTGTGTCCATGAAACAAAGCCATTGGCGTATCGAGGGAGGCGTTTTGGGTGTTCAAACACCCCCCCCCCCCCCTCCTTATCTACCGGCTAGCTGATTCGCCGCTAAATATATTCTCACGAATTGGGAAGAAGAAAAAAACCTCCCTTATAAAATCCTGGATACGCCCTTGCGCAAAACCTTCAAGTCGTACGTTTTCACAAAGGAAGCGTTTGCATACCGGGGAATAATGAAAAACACAAGTAGTCCAACTTTCCATTCTTTCAGTAATACACGACGTTTCTTTTCAAAATGCATCATAAAAATAATGTTCATGGTATTTAGTACAAAATTCAATACAGTGTACAGAAATGTAGTAATAAGTACTTTTAGATGAGCAAAATATAAGAATAATGCAAGTGCGAATGGATACATCGATTCTAGTATATACATGTATAATATTAGGCCTATCACAATATATATTTTAAACAGATTGGCACAGCTCGTACAGACATTCAAATTTGTTTCATCATATAATATATGCCCCTCTCTCTCTCTCTCTGTTTGTCTCATCCCTTATTTTTCTTCTCTCTCTCTCTCTCTCTCTCTCTCTCTCTCTCTCTATGCATGTTGGTGACTTGACCTGCCATCAATATGTAAAGTGAGATCTTCGTAGTGTTGAATCACTCTTAGTAGGCCTACTCATGTATATTCACTCATTTTTCTCAAGTTTGATAAATGTTTGCTAATTATTAATGCTATATATATAAAAATAAAAATTTGAAAACAGTGAAGATTCAATCTCATTAGGCCTACATTTTCTTTGCATTTCTTCACTCTTGCACGGACAGCACCACCATTGTGACTATTGGCACATCTTTAGTGTTCATTACATAGGCATGCCAATAACCTTTGAACCGAAGAAAAGGTCAAACGGGGTCAAACGACTTCAAACGGACGAGATTTAATTCATGCCTCTTTTCAGTCTCTCGTTAGCCTTTCAATCAATGCATCCCACTTTTTCTACAAACAATCTAAACCATCTTGCACAAGGTTTCAGCTTGAAGCTTAGGATTATATTTCATTGTTTTCAGTCTCTAGTCTTTTACTAGTCTTTACTAGTCTTTACTTCAATAGGTGTCACTCCTCAAATATGTAAACTTCGAGATCATCTCTGCGAATCTTCATCCTGTAATCGATTGAGCACTGTTGTGGTGGTTGTGGTAGTGGTGGTAGCAACCCCACTGTCTGTATCGTATGTAAAACTGTGGTCGAGGACCGTTGATACATGGTCCGGACTCTCCGGGTCTCTGGACGTAACTGATGAGTGTCCGTCGGACGATTTCCTCTTCACGTATCGCTTGCCAAGTACGATGAGGATCTGAATACGTATACCAAACAAACAAAATCAGAGAAATAAAAAAATTACTTTATAAATCATCAACTGCCAGGCACAATACAGATGGTAAAAGATTGTGGTGATGGTGGTCGTAGGAATGGAAAATAAGAAGAGGAATGAAGAAAGAGAAGATGGAAGTAGAAGAAGCAAAGAAAAAGGAAGAGAAAGAGGTGAGGAAAAAAAAGAGTGAAGAGCGAAAAGAGGAAGAAGGGGAAAGGAGGGTAGGAGAAGAACAAGGAGGAGAAGAAGAAGAAGAAGAAGAAGAAGAAGACGAAGAAGAAGGAGAAGAAGAAGAAGAAGAAAAGAAGAAGAAGAAGAAGAAGAAGAAGAAGAAGAAGAAGAAGAAGAAGAAGAAGAAGAAAAGAAGAAGAAGAAGAAGAAGAAGAAGAAGAAGAAGAAGAAGAGTAGTAGTAGAAGAAGAAGAAGAAGAAGAAGAAGAAGAAGAAGAAAATGAAGAAGAAAAAGGAGAAGACGAAAAAGAAGAATATTTCCTTTAACATAGTTTATAGTGTTTTCCAGACATAAATGAATTACGGCAAACTCATACATAGAAAACAGGCAAATTAGATCGGAAAGAAACTGAACAGGTTCTCTATTTTCGTTAAACTATTTCAAATTTCAGACATACCACTAATTTTAATATCGTTGTTTCAGATAATAAAAACATTTGACCCCAAGACAAGAAAATAATGGCAGGAAGACCCATCATCCTTGTTTGGCCTGTGCAAAACCGACATATTGATGACAACAAAATTGCAACGTTGATGCCGTCGGCCCATGAATTGGAAATAAATCTTGATATAAAAGGTCAAGTTGGACTTTATACGAGGTAAATGCCTCGGGGGTTACTGCTCCACTTTTTTATGTAATTCACATCGGCTGGAAAATGTCACGTATTTCAGCTAACCTCGTGGGAATCACAGTAACTGATTTACCCAAATAATACATCATTGTATTCCCGAAGGTAATTTGTCGTAAGTAATTGTATTGTGCTTACAAATTTGATTATCATATTAACCATATGCATACAATCATGCCAACTGTTCAGATTAAAGAGGAACATTCCTCTTTTTGGGAGAAGATAATTATCATTTTAATGCAGGTGTTCCTCTTCCTGTACAAATTTGTCTGTAGTATTGAATAGGAGAGTTAGGATTGTTCCTCTTTTTTTTGAAAATAGCATAATTTGTACAGATTTCTGATTTTCAAATGTTGGCATGTATGCATATGTATTTATATCATCACCACCATAAGTACATGATGCGCGGGTGGTGGGGTGCCTAGAATTTCGAAACTTTACCAATTTTTGAACGCAGCTGATGAGGAGGGTTCGCGTAATGTTTTGATAAATGGAAAATAAACAGTATCTGACATTCATCTGGCGTCCACACGGTTATTAGAAAAGGGGTTTTTTGTTTGGGGGGGGGGGGTATTAAAGCTTGGTAAAGGGCAGACGATACATGGCAAACAAATACAAAAGAAAAACAAAACAGATAAAGAAAAAAGACGAAATCTATCAAAGTTAAAAAGCATACTGAAAACAAGAAAGAAAAGGAACAGAATTTCAATGACAGCCGCTCAAGCAGTTTAGTCTTACTATCTTCGGTTGACAATATGAAGGTATCAGTATGGGCGGATCCAGGATTTCTTTCTTGGGGGGGCTAATTTGAAATTATGCGAGCCAAATATTAGTACGTAATGGTGACCAGCAGTGGCGTAATGAGCAAAATGTTTGGAGGGGGGCAGACAAAAAATCTGCCTCACCCCCACTCTTACATGCCCCGCTGAACGTTTTTCAAAGATAGTGGGGGAGGCTAAAGTATTTACGATCAGGTAGAGCGTAGCGTATATTGGCGTGGGGTCTAAGGGCAAAGCCCTGGTAGGGGTCAAGGGGATATGGGCATTTAAGTAGGGTCAGATAAGCATATTGTGATACCTTATTCATGACACTGTCAGGTCACTAATTGGCATGGGGTCCAGGGGCTGAGCCCCCTGTAACATTTTGTAGCATTTTATAACGGTCAGATAAGCATTCAGGGGCCTGCCTTAGACCCCCTGGTGGGGTCCAGGGGCAGAGCCCCGAAAGCTTTTCTTCTTTTCCCTTCCCTTTATCTCCTCTTTTCCTTTTTCTTTCTCTTTCCTTCCTTCTCTCTTATTTTTTTGATGGGGGGAGGGGGCAACAGCCTGGAAGGCAAGGACCTTTCGACCTTTCGCCCCCGCCCCCCTCTTTTCCCTTTTTCTTTCCCTTTCCTTCCTTCTCTCTTACTTTTTTATGGGGAGGGGGGGGGGGGGGGGGCAACAGCCTGGAAGGCAAGGCCCTTTCGACCTTTCGCCCCCCCCCCTCTTTTCCTTTTTTCCTTCCCTTTCCTATCTTCTCTCTTATTTTTTTGATGGGGAGGGGGGCAACAGCCTGGAAGGCAAGGCCCGCTCGCCCCCCCCCCCCAGGATCCGCGCCTAGATATACAGCTTCCAAGTCTGCGAACTTACCACAAGAACTGCTATCACAAGAAGAAGCGGCCAGATTGTCTTATGAATAGAGGATCTCGATTTCTGATTGTAGGCTTCATTTTCTCCTCCTGAATATGAAAATAATCAAAACAAAAGAGAAAAAGTATTAAAAACGAGAAGTCTTTAATCATAAAGGATGCAAAGGATTGTGCAATCCGATTTGACCTATTAGAATGCGTTTTCTCACACTCTTTTATTTCATGGTACTTGACTGTATAAACAGAGATGCCGTCATTTTCCCATGGGTAATTTAAATGTAAGAGAATGGTACAATAGGACTAACCACTTCCTCATGTTGCCGAGGGAAAAGAAAGTAAAATGAGTAGATATAAAATAAGTCGCGTGTATAATATGATTTTTATATGACATCTTTTGGACATTAATATCTGTTTAAAGATAAACTTGAGTTCTGGTAAAAAAAAGAAAATGAATTCTCACAGAATCTAACGAAACTTACACTGAATGTTCAAGATTACAAATAAATGTCATGTGCCAAACAATTTTGGAAGAAAATGTATACTGGCTGAGTAATGAGCATAGAAAGATAAGGAAATCAGGGTAGTACTAGCCCCGACACCATGTGTGTTGTCTCATATACATCTTTCTGTGTAAGTGATTGTTACTTTACCAAGACTCTGCCAAATTAATGATGATTTTGATGACTCCAGAACCTTGCATTACACACCATTACTTACATGCTTTATGATCAACTTTTCTGATCCATTCCACACCTTTTCTTTCACAATGCAATCGCATTACCAGAACTCAAGTTTATCTTTAATGTAGCTTATAATTGATTACCATAACCTTTCATGTCTGTACCTTTCCTATTGCACTCTGTATAAATGTACCATGTATGTATTTCATCTTTTGCACAAGCTGCGCCTTGAGCATTTGACTGTCAATAAATGTTATAAATCTTATGTATTATTATTATTATTCATATTCATATTTATTTTCAAATTTATTGTCCAATGATTGGAAATTTGTTTCATTTGCGTGTCAATACAAGGTTACACCTCACTCAATCATTTTGTGTTGTTCACATGTTTATATGAAATTGCGCTTTGTTATGGTAAATTTAGCACTGCTGTATGAACAGCAAATCGAGATAAAGTAAATAGGAATTAAAGGGACTTTGTAACATTGTTCAGATGAGAGAAAATGGTGCTAAGGTAGTGACTTCGGTGCTAAATGTACAATTAAAGATAATCAGAAAGTTTGAGTGAAAACAGAATATTATTATTGATAAAAATAGGGAAAAACTGATCTGATCGATTCTCCCACTGAACAGAACTATTTTAATTACATTTTAGGTGAATGAAAATCATCACAGAGCAATAAATTGGCTTTTTATACCATTCCAGACATTTAAGTGTTGACATATTTTTAAAAGCCTATCTTATGTCTTATTTTCAAGGAAAAACGGTTGGATAATTTCAAAAATGGTTGGGAGAATTTACTGTTAATCACTGTTAGAGGGTGTAGCACAGTGACGCCTTCAAAGAAAACCATAAACACCTGTGTGGTTTGAGAATTTCATTAGGAATATTTGCATGTTAGAGGGTAAGTACAGTAGAAGGAATGTAATAAGTAACATTCCACACAAAAATTAAATTTTTTCATCAACCTTCAACAATGTCACTGAGTCACTTTAAATTTGAAATTGAAAAATAAATAAATGGTTTAGATGTTCAAAAGCAAGGTCTCATAACCCGTTGGCTCTCCAAAAAAGGATTTCCCATAGTTAAAGTCCAAGGTAAAAACAAAAATGGTGATCAGTTTAACGAATTCTTTAAACATATTTGATACGAGTACCTAGACAAGAGTATCCATTATCGCAAAAAAAATACTTTTACACGAAATGAACAGATAATTTGGATGAAAAGCTTTGTCAATATATCGCAATGTCATTACTTATATAAACTATATAGTTAACGATAGAGATAGTACATGCAAATTCATATTGTATATATAGGGGGGGGGGGGCTAGAAAAAACATAAAGTTCTTAGTATATTGCGGTGTATGGTGAAATGCCACACAAAGGTCACACAGTTTATAGGTCATCCCCGTACACAAATATAAATTGTATGATATGATTTATGTGTAGACATGTCAACAAGGGCAATTTGTGTTTAATTTTTAGACGTCGTCGATCAAGAGCAAGTCAACACTGACCTCATAACACGGTGGGTCACAGAGCTGATGGTATTAAAGGTATTACAAAGTTTTGGTATAGGGTCATAAATTTGGTTCAAATGGACATTTTGGAAGCATATGCGATCCTACAATAATCAGTGATCGTTGTCGCGGTTGAAATCGAGTCTAAAGTTATGAAACTGTAAATAATAAACTCATTATGTTGTATAGCTACCTCTGAAGGTCAAGATATTAATTAAGCTATAAAACAGTGTTTCTAGACTAAAATCGACCGATTAGCTATTCCCGTTTGGAAATTATATATCACAATTACATATTCTGATATTTTCATAGTCGCAGCTACCATTGTACAGCGGTAGGCGCTTTTTAAAATTTATCAAAATTTACCCGGAGCACCGGTAAATTGTTATATTCCATTTTTCTTGAAAGCAGAAGTGTTTAGGGGCTACATTTACTTGTTCTTATAATACATCCACAGGGGCATCCAGATATATCAAAATTGTAAAGAATCACTATGGCCACCCAATTTTCAAAATTCCCCAAAACTTTGTATTACCTGTAAGTTGAAATCGAAAATGAAGACAAAGTTTAGCAATCTGTGAAGCACTGGCTTATCAACAACAACAAAATGGGGGGGGGGGGGGGGGGGTCATGAATTCAAGGTGAAAATATAGTTTTTAAAAAGATATCAAATGAAGAATATAAATCTTCATCGAAATTGAATTTCTGAGTTTCATGGAAAATTCGTATGTATTGATGGGAGCCAGATAGAGAGAGACAAGGAGATGAAAAGAGATACATATATAGAGGGATGGAGAGATAGCGAGATATAGAGAGAGAGAGAGAGAGAGAGAGAGAGAGAGAGTGATATATATATATATATAGAGAGAGAGAGAGAGAGAGAGAGAGATGCAGCTAGAAACAGAGATAGGTAGGGTTATATAATTATATAGAGAGATAAAGAAAGAGAGAAATGTATATAGAGAGAGACAAAGAGAATAACAAGGAGACAAAGTTTTCACAATCACGAAGACTTTCATGCAAGCAATATAACCTGAGGCAAGTGTAATAGCCCAAAAGTACTACCTTATCAAGTTTGTGAACAGTACACTTACATATCATATAACCCGAACATCATTTTTGTGAGCAGCTCAAATGACAATGGGATATTAAAATCGCCTTTTAATTGATATTTTTTGTGAAAGCCTTCGCGATTGTTTTATTACATGTAGCAAGAATAACAACACATTTTGGAAATGAGCACTGGTGCATTAAAAGGGAATGAGATCGGAATGAGATATATTTATCAAACCACTATTCCAACTCTTTTATAAATGGAGGTCAATATCTCCTTACCTAGAATCCCGGCTTTTTACATTTTGGGGAGATTAATCCCTCTCCTCCCCCCTCTGATCTCTTTCTTGAAATCCTGGAACTACCCCCAGGGTGCGACAGACGACACGGCTTCTTAAAGTGAAACTGTAATGTATTGTTCACTTTGACCTTTGACCCAAATGTGAAATCACAAATGACCTCTCTATTTGCATTCCGATCTGAAATTCCTTCCATGCACTCTACAATCAAAATTCAAGATAGAAGGAATCAGAGAGGTATGGCCATGACCCTGTTTGCTCTTTACTCCCTCCTTATTTCGTCTGATCAGGACGTTTACTCCATCTCAGAAGACGACTTCTTTTCTTCGACATGCCGAGGACATTCTTGTTATTGCGGATGTTTGCAGGATATGTTGACGGGACGATGAACTATACCGGCGGTCTCATTTACTATTGAGAGGTTCATTTTGTTCGCGCTCAGTGAGTGACATACATATTTTCAACCATAACCGCTCCTATAAATATTATACTTACTATACAAAAATTACCAAGTTCTGGAATGAGCTACAGACTGCTTTCATTAAATCTATCTCATTATCACATTTATAGCAAAGGACGTGGATCAGGTATTTTGTATTAAAACTGGGGCACAATCTGGAAAGATTCCTGAATTAAAAGGACAATTTGTCGTGAGCATTCAAGGTATTTGGGTTTCAAAATGGGTCACATTCCAAAAGCCTGATACCCCCCCCCCCCTACTCCCCCTTAGGGCTACACACCTGATGATGCTGTACTGCTCCTCATTGAGATTGTTCGGTAGACTACTTCGTTGTGTTCACTGGGTGCTCTACTCCCTGTCCGCAGCCTGTCTAATGATGTAGTCGATGACTCTGGAGTAGTGGTCGGAGCTGGACAAAAAAGCAGCACGAAAATAAAATGATGAAGCAAATGATAAAACCAGACATAAAAACTTGACGACAAAAATGGAAGTTATTATAACGACTTGAATATAGTCACATTTCTATTTAATAGAAACAGTTCAATTTACTCTAATAAAGTAACAAATAGTCACAACAAAGCAGAAGAAGGCGATGCCAGAAAAGTAAAACATGCTGGGGCAAAACTTCTTAAGGGTCAAGTGAACAAGGAGCTGCTTTAAGTTCGACCACTTTGGCAGCCGGACGTCCTAAACTTTTTTTATATCCGTTCTGAGAGAATAAAATGTCACTTCTAACATTGTTTGGTAATTTTGATTTATTTTTTGTCTTGTTTTGTTGATGTTTGTTTTTCATTGTTAAGCTTTTTGTTCATGTACGTGAAGTTTTAAACAGGGTCGGTGTTCTTGTATGCGTCGTAGACTCGTCAATAGGTAAATCGTGCCCCGCCCCTGATGATTATGGGCACAGTTACTAATTAATCATACAGCCTCCACCCCCCCCCCCCCCTGGCATCCCCCACTTATTTTTCGTAATATTGTTTACAGTCAGTGTACATGTATTATACAGCATCAATCAATATACCCACCTCCAGTTAAAGCTGGCATGACTGTAAGCATCTTGGTCGGATGACGGGAACACATCCCCGCGACGTCAGGCCAGCAGCACCCGTACAACCCGGAGTCTTCCAAACGTAGCCGAAATATCGTCATGGTGCAGTTGATACGGTTGGTATTTACATCCCGAGTAGAACCCGAACGGATGTGCCTCGGGCCTTCGGCAATGCTCGTCGAGTTCTTCGTGAATCGGATTCTGGTTCGGCATACGGTGTCGGCATTCATGTTGTTATTTGTGAGGCTTACCCAGCATCCAAGAGTGAAATTTGACCCTTCCACGGATGACCATCCACCAGGGCTTTTAATAATGGTGGCTGTGGAAGTAATATGAACAGTAATAATAATCAAGAGTAATAATAATAATATTAATAATAATGCTACTACTAATGATAAAAAGGATAATAATAACGATAATAATATTGATAATAATGACAAAAAATATAATAATAGCCATACGATTTTAAACAATACTTGCAACAACATCTAATCTACAATTTATTTCCTATATCATTTTGATGTTAAACCGCCAGGGGCTCACAGTCTCGCAGTGATGTGGTCGATTCAAATCCATAGCAACTGGGGGGGGGGGGGCACTTAATTTGTTTAATCTTTTTAAAGGTAAAATTGTGGTAATAAACTTTTCCCACATTTTTTTTTTGCCAGGGTTGGGGGCCCGTTTTTTTAACTGTTTTTGCAAGGGGTCCCCGGCACCCCCCCCCCCCCCCCCCGTGGATCCGCGCCTGGATGAGACTGTGGGAAGGGAGTTGTCATGCAGACACGTACTCCAATTTGACACTTTACCGGAATTCCTACAGCCTTGAACAGAGCCTAGCCCTGTCAGTCTATGGCTGTATCCAGACCAGTTTAAGTACGGAGCCTATATGCAGTGACCTGGTGGGTGTTTCACAAAGTCTTTTTACAATGACAACTGACAAAAAATTGTGAAAAAATGTGCTGATTACCAATCAGAAGCAAGGATCTCAGTAGCTCATTTTGTCACTGATGACCAGTTTTGTGAACCCCCCCCCCCCCGCTCCCCTGTACGCTTATTCTCACAGTGCAGACACTATTACTATTAGCGCAGCGACAGACGAGGGTTTGTACCAGGGAGAGCGGTCGTTTCATGATCTTCACGTCAAATTCCGTCTCCTGTTTTCATTTCTTTTCAATGTATGATCCCCCTCTCTCTCTCTCTCTCTCTCTCTCTCCCCTCTCTCTCTCTCTCTCTCTCTCTCTCTCTCCTCTCTCTCTATCTATCTCTCTCTCTCTCTCCCTCTCTCATTTATCAAGAGACATGTGCCCCCCCCCCCCCCCTCACGAAATATATTCTGTTTCTACGCCACTGTGACATTCAGGCCCATCCGTTTACAGGAGAGTGACCTCTTGGGCGACCGGTTTCAGTTCAAATCCATTATGTGATCCGTGCGAATTAGGTGAACATTGATTCTTGGAGCAAACAAAATGTCGGATTGTTATCTGGTAATATAATTTGCTATTTGCATTTAGGTAAACAATCCTTCATTTCAGTTTCGACAGTAAACCTGGGAAAAATCAGATCATTCGAAATTCGTAGGTGTAGACCAGTTCTGGTCATGCGATTGCATTGTGAGAGAAACGTTGTGGAACCAATCATAAAAGGTTGATCATCTAGCATATAAAAGTATTGATGTGTACTGCAAGGTTCTGGAATCATCAAAATAATAAGAAATTTGGCCCAGTCTTGGTAAAGTTACAAGCACTGTACACAGAAAGATGTATATGGGACTACCCGATATCAATCCAGTCTGGATAGATATAATAATCTACCACATATGTCAATTAGAAGGCGGTTTCCCAGCAAAATTTGTATCATCACGTTTTAGTCAAAACATATTATTTCACATGATTGGTAATAAGAGCTTCCTTTTCATTTTTTGAGAAGAGGGCGTTTCCAAAACTGGTCCAAAAGAGGAATACACTTGTTATACATGAATGTTATTGAGCAACACCCTTCATACTTTCATCATGTTCTGTAGACAATAATAAATCATATGCAAGGTATACTAAGAGGACTTACAATAAAATACAAGTAAATAAACAACCAAGCAGGGGATGACCTATAAACGATGTAAAAGATTGAAACAGATCTATACAAAATAATCAATATATATGAAATATAAGGTATTTGTATAATTTGTAATTCATTGTCGTCGTTTTATCTTTACATTTACAAACTGAGATTACATTCTCTCATCCTTAAATCTAGCTTTAAATAAATTCAAACTGGTGTAATCTGAAACAAAAGCCGGTATACCCAGCAACTAATTATAAACATTGTACAGGAGATTTATTTTTTCAATCTGAACCACAATAATGCTAATTCACTCTCTCTCTCATTAAATCCTCAAGTGGTTTCGTTTTAAGTTGCAACTTCCGAATGTTATCATGTTTATATCATTAATCATGTGAAATGCTGTAACAGGCAGCCTAATTACAACACTAGACTTAACCTTGTTTAACATCCGTATTGTCTATGCAAACACAGATAATCTTAAATCACCTATTATCTGACAATATCAATATACAGCAGCGAGAGTAGATTCATACTTTTCATGCGCTGACATGACTTCGAATTAAAGCAATGGATGTTACATTTTGATTCTGTTACATGTTACATTTGGTTTTGATACTACATTGCTGTACTATCAACATTCCGCCTTCTGATCACCAGTCACTTCGCTAAACTTAACCCGAACTGACTACATATTAACATCCTTTAATGTAATTGTGCAACCAGATTTGGAATAAATCGGCTGGTAAACACGTTGAGAGCCGGACCTATATACTAATAAAAGGAAAATATTTATATTCGATTCTCTTTCAACACCCTATTTTATTTCCTATACAATTCATATTCATTTCAATATTTAATATCTCTTAATGTTAACACTTGACAGGGAATGACACATATGAATATTGAAATCGCCAGTGTCGATATGTTGATTGTCTTCGCAATTATCATAAGTACATAAAGATAGAAAGAGGGGGGAGGGGTATTAACGGAGGGAGAAATCCTTAAATGACACACATAAATTAAGGGATGCATTCAGGTAGCCTAATTGCACTTCGCTTATTGTAACCTTCCCCTTTGTTTTTTAAAATACATAATTGTTACTGAATTCGTCTATATTGACCCAGCTGTAAAGTTACACAAGCCATACTTTGTGTACAAACTATTCATTTGAAATTAAGCTTTCGCCTTGGCCTAATTTACTGCTTTTGGGTCATCGATGAAGCGTTCTACCGGAAAATATCGTTACAAGTTTAAAAGTTTTAAAAAAGTAAGCCATTTCTTTCATTTGCAGGGTTGGTCTATAAGAGTACCGAAGTGTGACGTCACACCGGCCAAGTTGTCACGGCTGCACTAGTTACAGACATGTGCTGAACAATGGTGTGGCGATCATAACAGCGCCAAACAATGAATCTGCTCTGATTCAGCCCCTTGCTTGATTGATTCCGCGGAGAACCTCATGCGCAAGTTCTGTTGTTTAAAACCCGTAACCTGGATGAGTTCCGAATATGACGATGGTACTTCGGTATCTTCAGAAAAGAGATTTTTTTTATCAATGAACAAAATGCACACAATGGTGATCAGAGACCATACGGAAATCTGGAGGTTAGGCGTGCGTCATATTTCACCCAAAATTTGGTCTTTTTGTTTTAACTAAAAAATAAATTGATTTTTTTTTTTTTTTAATTTATTTCCCCCTATTAATCGTTAAAACCCTTATAATATTTATGGATATTTGGATGTTAAATATTTTGTCATCGAGACTTTGAATGAATAAAGAGATATTGAAGACACAATACGTAATTGTCAGCTTATGTGAAACAGGGAGGGAAAGCGAACTGACTGTGAATAGACCATCCACCACGATATGGAGGGACCCCCACCCCCCCCCCCAACTCGGCGATAATGGGGTAATAATGGATTTTTTTTTAGAGAGAGACTGAAAGGGACAAAGGGAGGGAATAAATGTGAAAGATAAGGAAAGGGTAAGGAAGAGGGAATGGGAAAATGGGATACATAGTGAGAGCGAGAGATTGGTAGAGATGGAAAGGCAGATAGAGAGAGAGAGAGTGAGGGAAAGAGAGAGAGAGAGAGAGAGAGAGAGAGAGAGAGAGAGAGATCGGGATCCCGGGACTGAGGGCTAGCCTAGCAAAGCCAAAGATCTTAGATAAACAAGACATTCCTGTAAAAAAAAAAAAAAAAAAACATATATAGGTTAATGCAGGAAAACGAGGTTCTTGGGAAAGGTAGTTATTCCCCTAGTATGACATTGAAATTGCTTCAATGTGACTCATATGAAATTTGAAGACATGAAGTACCATAAAATAAACAAAAGCTGGAAAGACCTTGCATATATTAACAGCAATATCACGGCTGCTTTTGGCCTTCAAAGGTGCAACTTTTTTTCCTCGAATTTCCCTCAAATCTCGCTCGTTATGCTCGCTAACAACGCTTCACTCGCTCGTAAATAATGATTAAGACAAACACACGCACCTTCAAACTATTATGCTTAAGCAGTATCTTGGACCATGACCCTGGTATTAAATTTATTAATCACAATGCAGGGGTTTATATAAACTCATATGCCAATGTCTAAAATATTATATATTTTTTTTCCCTGTGGTTTCCCTTTGAAGGTACCCCTTTTTTCAAGGGTCTTTTTGTTAATGCCAGCCCCTGATTAAATTATTTAATTTTGTTTCGTTTGTTATGTGTTTTCGCTTGCTTGCTTGCTTAAAAAGTGTACACCTTTAACAAATCCAATGACAATTTCAATGTGTTTTCTTCTTTCAATTGTTTTGTGGATCCTAGATCCCTTAGTTTGCGTGAACTTCAAAGATTCAATATTTTTGGTACATTTGAAGTCCTTTCTATATAGAGTCTGAATTTGACTGCCATATCATATACAGACTATATTTAAACATATTATTTACTTCTTTTACTTTGAAATTGAAGATATTGATTGAGAAGAAAAGAACAAAGAAGATGGCATAATGTTATGATTCCTGAAATACCTGCCAAACATTGCAGCGATCGATCAACACATTCAAGCTCAATAAAGCAGGGACGGCAGATCTGGACCCCCTCCCTAACACCCGTCACATGGACCTTGTGCAGTTAGAGTTTCTTAATGTCTGCTTTGGCACGTAATTTTGTATTCGAGCGGATTATGCCACAATACCCTTTATACATGTAGTTAAAGGGCCAGTCTAACCCAACTGTTACACATGCGTCGGCTTTTAAAGCGGGCCCCGGAGGCGGCCT